TCTAACAAATCACATATACATTCATATTTAAATAAAATACGATATTACAAAATGAAATGATAAATTCTCATATTTATAAAATACGAAATTATAAAAGTTTACAGTTGCATGACCATTGAATTAAAGTAGGACAAATTTGTAATTAAAGAAATAATTAAGGGTATAAAGGTAATTTACCATCATGGATTTTAATCCATCACCCAAATCTCACCTCAAGAGGTGGAACTTCCAATTTCGTGGGGTCCACGGATTTGGAACCCCAAAAGTGGTGGGCCCCACAAATTCCATCTCCCTAATTCCCTAAGGCAAACGATGGATTTCGGTTCAAGTCCATGATGGATATATTTCCATGACCAAATCCATCACCAAAACCCTCAAGCAAACGACCCGTACATCCAGCAAAATTGAAGACAACATATTCAATTAAACAAGATTCCATCAAACATTACAATGAACAAGAAAGGCAAAACAAAATAGTTCCCTGGTCCAGAATTTCTCATGGAAAAGAGAAAATGCTATCGAAAATATATTGAGTATAAAGGTTCAGATTGCGATTTCGAACAAACCCAGGCCCGCCATGGGAGAAGCTCGGGTTGAAACGCGGGACCAGGATCGAAAATCCCTGCCAAACCAGATTACCCTCTCATTCTTCCTCGTTCCCAACGAGAAAATTAGAAAATTGAGGGAGGGATTCGTTGAAAAGGGTTCATCGAAAATCATTGATTTGGAAGAAGTTCAGATCCAGAAATACCTAAGTAGCTGATTGCGGCGGCGTAAGTGTTAAATGGAGATGCTAAAACCCTATTAGATCTCCACATTATTTGAAAGCGATTGTGATATCTCCTGATTATTACAGTCTAGTTAGATGAAGGAAAAAGGCAATCAACGACAAGAAGGAGATGGGAATTGGGTACAGTTCGTCGAAGAATGGGGAGAGAGGAAAGGGGAAGAGAAAGAAAATTATAATTTTTTTTTATCCTAAAGTACAATAAACAAAACAGAAGTCAATTTAGGGGAGAAATACCCATGATGCCATTAAACTTCTCAAATTGGGGGACGGATACCACTGAAGTGAAAATAGTGCATCGGGTACCATCCAAGTCTATGAAATGTGCATCCATTTTTATTTCCGTCCATTTCACTGACGGAGGGAGCAAAACGCCACGTCAGCTGCAACTCTGGCCTGCCAGGCTGTTTACTTGGTTTTGTCGCAAATGATGGCGTCAGGCTCAAATCTGGACTTCAAATCATAGAATTAGGAATCGACTTCGAGGCATCTTCTCTTCTTGTAGAGAGTACTGGTCATAACTCGCAATTGAGAAGACAATTTTCTTAGGAGCCCAGTTGTAGAAATCAATTTGACTAAAAGCATAAACGGCTTTCGTCGCCATTCCGGCGTGGATGGAGCGGTGGATGAGGACGGAGAACGTTTCGCTACTGATTGCGATGAATCTCTGTTTCATTTGATCGATTATGTTCTAGGCGAGATCGAATAGCAATAGGTCGGCCATCTAGTTGTTGGGTTCTAGCCTTCTGGGGAGGGAGGGAATTCATCGCTTGTTGCTCTCTAGTTAGAGAAAGGTAGGGTTTGGAGGATTTGGGTGTCATAGCGGACACTGACGCACTTCCCGGTGACTAGCCAGAGAGCTGGGACTTGGGAGAATGGGAGGGAGAGATACGGGATGGTGAAATTGGGGAAGCATGAGGTAGGGGTTTGGGTTCGGGTTATTTCAGTACTGAATGAATTTTACAAAGTGGCGAATTCTTCTAGAGAGATGGTGGCGGCAGCGGACTCCGGTGGAGTTGATTCGCCGTTGCTGGAGTCTGATTCTTCTACAATCTGGTTGTTGAGGCGATGCGAGAGTACTGGATGAGAATAATAGAAACTTGCGAGAAACTAGTGGGAGAGGAGAAATGGATGGTGAGGAAACAGCTGAGAAGTGAATTGTCGCCATTCACAGAGACACTATTTTTTTTTTTTTTTCTTGTTCAAACTTCAAAGGAAGGAGATGATCGCTGTGGCAGATGGCTATGCCTTAACACTTTAACTTTATTTGGGGTTTTCTTTTTGCTTACGTGGCAAAATCAAATATGAGTCAGCGGCCTAGTAAAGTTGAGAGTCAATGTAATAGACGGAAACAGTAACGGATGCACATTTAATGGAGTTGAATGATATTCCATGCCCTATTTTTACTTTAGTGGTATCCGTCCCCCAATTCAAAAACTTTGATGGCATCTCGTGTATTTCTCCCGTCAATTTAGTAATATTAGGTTGTTGGGTCCTAATTTGATTGTGTTTAACGGAAATCGGACGGATTATTTGACAGAAGGTTAGATTTGAGAATAGTGTTGTAGTAGAGGGGTAGATTTGATATGAAAAATATCAAAAATTATAGTAGGGCAACTTATACCTATAACCCTTATAATAACAACACTCTTACTGTTGTTATTCTATCTGAGCCCGAATGAGATGAATAAAGTGAATAAGAATTCGAATTTCTAGAGGTCGTTTGGATGAGTTGTTGTGTAACGAGTTAATATAAAAGTGGAATTTCTCACAAAATGAGAATGTGGTATTTGTGAGTTATTTCACAATAACTACCCCATATGAGGTATTGACAATAACTCATTAATGAGTTATTTCAAATTAACTCAAGTACAAATAACTCATCACCAACTTTTGTAGACAAACGGGTTATTGCACCCAAATAACTCAAAATAAGTTATTTGGGTGCAAATAACTCATACAAATAACTCAAACTAGTTAGCTTCTTTTCTTTTCTTCTTTCCCGTGATAGTTACTCATAAACATTTTTTTACATCACTTTGCTATTGCTTAAACATGACTAAACATATAAACCTACACACCCAACACTTCTTACAATTAGGGATGACAAAAATATCCGTAACCGTGGATATCCGCCAGAATCCAACCTAATCGGTTAGAATAAAACCTGAACCGAAGGATTTTTAGTGGGTACGGGTAAAACCGGAACCCGAACATCACGAGTAATGGGTGGGCATGGTTTTCTCACTATCCAACCCGAACTCGTCCGATTATACACATGCATATGTATTTTGTCTAAAAATAATCAATATTTTTCTCTAATATATTTTATTTTTAGCATATAAGTATAATTTTTTATAAAATTGTGTTGTTTTAATTAATTTGTTCATTCTAGTAAATTATTGTCGTACTTTTCGTCTTACGTAACGTGAGAATACGTATAAATATTAACATATTGATTGGAATTATAAAGAAAAACTATTACACATGGATAACCGTGGATACCCGAAATAACCCGAACGGATATGGCCATGGTTTGGATTTTCTACCCATTTCTTATGTGAGTATGGGGTATGGGTAAAACCCGAACTACTTTGGGTAGGGTAACAGATATGCATTATCCGTCCCCAATTCATTGCCATCCCTACTTTCAACCCAACGGGATGAAAAAATTCTTAAGCTACACGCGGTGATGAAGAAAGTGGCACACCACTAGTATATTAATTTTTTTTAAAATTTACTAACTTATGTAATCGGTTAGTGATATACTGATATTTACGAAGTCGTGTGTGAAAATTTAAAACTTTTGTATGAATATGAGTTTAAATCTATAGATTGTCAACAATCTAAAGATTCTAACTCTCCAGACTGTTGAAAACAGATTTTAAAATGATTATTGTTTGGTAACTGTGATTGTTAACATTCAATTTAAATAAAATGATTATATTAAATAAATTTGTATCCTTAATAAAAAAATTAGAGTGGTTCAATAAATGTTAAAAACTTTGTTGATAGATATATTTCATGTGATAAATAAATAGAAGTAAGAGAAAAACTAGGAGAAAAGAATCAAGATATAGAATCTCTCTGATTATGAGAGATTTGATATCCGCAGATTTTAGATATTTTAAATCTCTAAAGCTAGAATCCATAATACAGAAAGCAACAAAAAAATATAAGGGGTCGTTTGGAGAATATGAGTTTAAATCTATAGATTGTCAACAATCTAAAGATTCTAACTCTCCAGATTGTTGAAAACATATTTTAAAATGTTTATTGTTTGGTAACTGTGATTGTTAACAATCAAGTAACATAAAAAAATTTAATTTTATATTAAATAACATGTTTATCCTTAATAAAAAAATTAGAGTGGTTTGAGAAATATAAAAAAACTTTGTTGATAAATATATTTCATGTGATAAATAAATAAAAGGAAGAGAAAAATTAGGAGAGAAAAAATCTCACGAATCAAGATATAGAATCTCTCTGATTAGGAGAGATTTGATATCCGCGGATTTTAGAGATTTGAAATCTCTAAAGCTAGAATCCACAATACAAAAAGTAACAAAAAAACATAACTTTCTACAAAATCTACGGATTCAATGAATCCATGTCCTGAATCCTGTTCTCCAAACGACCCCTAAGTTTCTACAAAATCTACGAATTCAGTGAATCTATGTCTTAAATCATGTTCTCCAAACGACCCCTAAATAAAAATTGTACGAAGAAATCAATCAAATGCTTTTTCTTGTCACATAGTGTCACAAGAAATCTCGGTTGGAAGTTGGAACTGAATTGGCAGCCAAGAATGAGGACTCAGTTAGCTGAGTTACCTGCTTGCCGTCGAGGAAAGTAGATGACTAGGCCCCATGATCTCGCCTTGAACAACCTGCCAATGATCAACCCCGTCCTTCTTCTGCTTCTTCGTCACCCTGTAAGACAGGTTCTTAAACATCATGCCCTTCCCCTTCCCCTGTACCATCTTCTGCCGCAGCGGACTACTACTGCCGCCGCAGCTAATTTTCCTCCATCTCCGGGCTGCATTCTTTCCTCTCTGGCCAGCCTTTGGCACTACCATATGCTTATAGTCGCACGAGCGTTGGCTTGTCTGTTTCTCGAAACTCCAGGTTTATCCTTTTGAAACTAGTTGTCTGTACATTGGTGTTACGGCTGCTGGTTTCGTTGGAAGTCGTTATCAAAAGCAAAAGTCATGTAAGAAACTCTTCACGAGAATAGATTTCTGTTGGAGGAAAGAAGGCCGGAATATCAATTTATGAACGAGGGATATACTTTGGAGAGGATTCAGGTGGGGAAAGAAAATGTATGATTGGTAGCCACAGCTACAAATGTACACAAGGTAAGAAAACATAATCTGGTGGTGGTAAGGAATTGCGAGCATTAATCTATACACACTTCCCATGCAAGTATATTCATTTTTGTTGATTATTTAAAAACCCTTCTGTTCAGCCTCAAAAATCATCCTTGGCTCGACGGATGACTCCCAATGCTTCTGCATCACTTGCCGTCTCTGGGATCTTTAATGACCGGCGAATTTCTGAACTTGCAGAGCGCAGGAAAGGGTTGCAAGCCTTCTCAACTTTTAATGTGGTCGGGATCTGACGCACAACACCAAGCACAAAGATGAACAGATGGACAAAATGAGATTTAATGGGAAGGAATAAGAGAAGAATAAAAGGAAGTCTTGTTGTTGCGCCAGTGGCTTACTGTTGGCAAGCTCTTGCTCCGAAGATGAGCCACTTGTGCTGCATATGATTCCAGCGACTCATTGTTGGGTTCAATCGACAGAGCAAACTTAGAATTACTCTGTCAAAATGCAAACACCAAAATAGATCTCATTACACTGTTTGAGTGACAAAAAAAGCTCTCAAAACACTTATAAATGTGGAAGGCGATGATTACGAACCAATGTATATTCATGCCCGCAAAAGATCTTTGTATCATCTGGTAAAGATGAAATTTTTTGAAGGGAAGCATGCATCTGTAACAAAGGAAATACGTTAAATGACCGAAAAAACCAGAAATACTAGAATATTCTACCAAGAAGCACGATTTGCTGTTGTGCTCCCTCAAGTCTTCCAAACACCAATTTGCTCTTTGCCAACATGAGGGCTCAATTCTTTCAAGTTTTTTAGCCATTTTGAATCATATTGTTCTCCGCACTCAATAGTTATAATAACTAGAAAACTTACATAAAAGAAAACAGACTACATTAATACTATATACCAATTGATTGTTCGCAGACAACAAAGAAATGTTCCACACTTAATAACACTACAGCAGGAGAGTCTAGAGACTACTTAATACCATGGAAATTGAACATTGGTAAGTAATTTATCGAAACATAACAAAAATGTTGGTAAGTGCTAAGCTAGGAAAAAACAATTACCTCTTCAGGTTTCCCTTCGAAGAGTTTGCCACATGACAAACTGAATAAAGTGTCTCCTGTGAAAATTGCACCGGATCCAGGGAAGTAGAAACTAATGTGACCTGCAACATGTATATTTTAGCACATATTATGAGTCTGAAGAGATCTCTAAAAATATGTTAAGCTTTCATTCGACAAATTTTAGCTTCTACCATATCATGTTCAATCTGTGACTTACTTTTTACAACTCCAGACTAACTTATAGCACATCTGACACCTAAATGCTTACCATTTGAACCATCACTATAAACCAAATGTTATAGCAGAAATGTGAATTTGTGGTGAAGGAATTGTGTATGGACTTTTATGACCAAGTGGTCATATTTGAAAGATACAATGATTGGTGAGACACTTCCTAAATCTCATACATCTTTAACAGTTTCTTCACAGCAAATAAATAGCAAAATTTCAACCTCGGGTGTGGCCAGGCGTTTCCATGACAAGAACTTCATGACCTCCAAACATCCACTTGTCCCCATCCTTTAGACCTATGTCAATGCCAGGAATCCTCTCACTGTCAAGCCCTGAGCCAATTACCTATATGCAAGACATGCAAACATAAACCTCTAGAATATTTAATGAATGCTGTCCTAGTAAGGATGTTGTAAACAAGCAAGCAAGGAGAATTGAATTTAGTATACACGTCTGTATGGCCTCTCTGATAGAGAAGTTGTACCAACGAGGGTATAAAATAAAGAAAAGATGAAAGAAAGTTGAATACGAAAGCTCACAGTAGTTTATACAATCATCATAATGGAAAAAGAAAAACAGAAGGATAGAGAAACAAACATATTAGTCGTCAGGTTAAGATCAGTAACTACTGTCTATAACCAAGAAAACTTCATAAACATTCATAAACAAGTACTCTTCCCAGAATATACTAGTATGAGAGAACAATGAGCCAAGAGTTTGTTGACTATAAGCAAATGTTTGATTCTATACGACTTCATAACATTGCAAACTTAAACAGTTGCTCTTCCCAAAATATGATATTAGTCAAGAAACAGAGGATTCATTGATTACAAACCATTGCCAGGCTCTATAGAACACAACTATGTAAAAATAATATCTGCATTACATATTTTTTTAACTTCTTTACCATAAGAGGGGAAAATCAGAGCATTTTCATACCTTTGCACCGTACCTTGCTTTCAGCTCTTCATTTCCACCAGTATGGTCATAATGGTGATGGGTATTAAGTATATAGGTCAAATTTCGGTTCTTCCTACTTAGAGCATCTACAATAGGCACAGACTCGGAAGGATCAACCACAGCTACTGTGCCAGTGTCAGCATCATGTAATAGATATGCATAGTTGTCCCTCAGACACGGCACCTTACAGATTCAAAAAGTTCAGACAACTAACAACTGTTAGAAAGTGGAATTGCAGAGAAAATGGTGAAATAGATAGAAATATGTTAAGCAGATGTACCCTTACCAATTCAATTTGCAATGAGGATGACATATTTGTTATACTGCAAAATTGGGAAACTCTAAGTGTTCGGCCAGCACAGCGCAATGTTTTAAATGGGGTAGATAGCAACCACATGAATCCACACAAGAGGCTCTTTCGAAGGCAAAGCTGTCTTGCACCTGGCCATACGCATAGCCCACTCCTTGCCTGAAATGCAATAAACACAGCTCAAAGTCAAAGGCCATAATCTGATCTTCAGTAGTAACCAATTGTAAGGACTTTCTCCAATATAACTTGGGCATTTCTCCAAATCATATCCAAGTAATAAGTAGGCATGCACTGGTATACCATTTGTTGCTATGGGAAAGTTTAGACCATCTAGCTTAAGCTACCATTTATTTCCAATACAATATCGAAATGAAACAACCCAGGATGCATAAGAGAATCCAACGCCAATACCATAATCTCTACCCCAATTTGCTCACTCAAGCAACTTAAGTAGAAGCATTTACTTCACAGTTCTTCAATGGAAACTTGACTCTTGCAATACTTTACGGACTATCGACAAACATGGACCAAATGTAGGAGAAAATGTCATATAATTTGCAGCAGCAGCAAAGGGACATGAAGCAATGTCCATCTCCAGAATTGGCAACGAAGATTTGCATAATCGGTGGCATGTATCAACCAAGTTGATTCAGTTCAGCCCACCAAGAAATCAATCACAAGCAAACAAAAAGCACCCGAAATTCTCCAGATTCAAGCAGAAAGCAAAACACACACAGGAGAAAGAAGTACTAGAGAAAGAAAACACTGAGTGAACACTGAGAACGCAATTCCTCAATCAACCAAAAATGGGCCTGATTAAAGTTGAACAATTCGAAGCGAAAACGAAGGAACAAGGAATGCTGGGGAAGAGAGGAGAAGGAGGAGAGACAAACCCTGGTGCAAGAGAGCGAAGCCATGGCGCAAGATGATGCCTTGGAGATCATTTGCATCGCACCGGCCTGCTTTGGCTTTCTCCTTATGCCCACTCTCGTTTTATTTTAATGGAGAGAGAAATTCCAATTCCCTTAGAAATAAAGTCAGTTCCTTTTCAGAGCGACATGGGGCACAATAAAGCGTTTTAATTTATGTGACGGAGGAGAAGAAGAAGAAGAAGGAGATGGAGAGACTGCAACTGCGTGTGAAAGAGAGAGAGAGCGCAGGGTGGGTGGCAGTTGGCGCATTCCACTCGGCTGTGATTGTGACTCGCTTCAGTTGGGCTCGTCATTTAGTTGGGTCCCAAAGATAATATACCATGTTTAATTTTGGGCCGGGCTCAGGTTGCCATCAAAAGCCTCTAAAATTCATGAGGTTTGATGAGTTAATTTATTGGTTAAAATATTGGGTTAATAGTATACCTTTTTATTATTGCAAATTAACAAAAATAATTTTTTACTAATGTTTTATACAAATATACCCTTTTAGTATTAAAACCTAATGAATCTACCCTTCCATCTAATTTTATGTTAAATAATAGTTTAATGGGCTGTAAAATGATCGAATTGCCCTCATTAACTCCTAAAAACTAAAAAATCATAATTTCAATTTAATTATTTTATGTACCTAAAATTAAAAGACTTCCAACCCTTCTAACCCGACAAAACCTTCTTCTTCCTCTCTACTCCATCCACACCCTTGTACCTAGGGCTGGAAGTTTGGTACCAGTTTTTTGGATATACCGAATACCGTACCGAATTTGTCTTGTATTTGGGATATCAAAATTATTTAGGGATTGAGATTGATTTTAGGGTGTAATTCGGTATTGGGGATTTCGGTATTTGATATTGGGATACCGATACCGTACCGATTTCCACCGTACTTGTACCGTATCAGACAAAATCGACCATCAAGTCTGAGAGCTAGCCATCGATACCGTCTGGAGTAGACTTCGGCAGTGGCGACTTAGGGTATTCGCCACGCGAAGAAAGTAGAAACATCATCCGCACTCGATTGACGATTTCTCTTGTGAGCAGGCTTCGGCGGTGGTCTGGAAAATCAAAATCTCTAGGCAGATCTAGGGGTGGCTATACGGTACGGTCCGGTTAAATTGGTCCAAATTGATCCGGTCCCAGTTCGGTCTTTTCGAAAATATAAGGACCAAAGATTGGATTGGATACAGTCCGGTTTTGGATTGGATCCAGTCCCAGTCCGGTCTTTTCAAAAATATAACGACCAACGATTGGATCCGGTCTGGTCCCAATTCGGTCTTGATTTTATATTGAGCTTGTGGGGATTTGAGTGGCCTAAGGTCTGAAAGTGTGAGGAGTTGGTTAAGTTTTATACTAAGTGCAAAGGTTTATGACCGTTTATGCAAATTATCCTTAAATTTTTGGTGTTGAGCTCTCTTATCCAGTCTTTATCTAGTTTTTGATCCGGTCCTGAACAGTTTTTTACATTAAATCTAAACCCAAAGATTGGATTGGATTGTTTACTATCCGGTCCCGATCCGATCTCGATTCGGGTTATACGGTCCGGTTTTGGGTAAAACCAAAAAACCGGACCAAATAGCCAGCACTAGGCAGAGCATTAAAAGGATTTCCCTTTTTAGTGTGTGACTGCTGCAACTACTGCACTCTTCATTCTAGTTCCTACTGCTTTTTTACTTATAATTTATGTAAAAACTGTTAGTCAAAGTGATTAATTTGAATGAAACTTGACTTCTTAGTTCTCATCAATATGAACGATTAAAGAAAAACTGAAAAAAAAATTCCAATTGCGTGTCTTAGATCAAATGAACAAACTAGAATAAGTAGTATCTATTCAATAGGATCTGACAGTACGGTAGAAAGAACTATAGAGTTCTTTTTACCATACTATCCATTTTTTTTTCGAATTTCTAAAGAATAAAGAATTCGGTTTGAATCCATTTTTGATTTCTTGGTCTTTCGAAAAAGGAACACGAGAATCATGGAAAGAATTTTTTTTTATTATCTATTATGATTCCATTTTGAAAAAGTCTTATTCATATATTATTTATAGAATTCATTATTCCACTTGAATCCAATAGAATAATTTGTAAATTTTGTAAATAAAGATATTTTCAATTGAATTTAAATCGTTCAATTGAAAAGTTTTTGCAAGAAGATCCGGAAAAAAATTGATACAATTTCACTTCTCAACTTAACTTGTACTCCTAAAGTCCACTTCTTCCCCACACTACGAGTGAAAGCGAAAATGTAAAGATTACCATTAAAGCAGCCCAAGCGAGACTTACTATATCCATGTGAATTATGTCCCCTATCTCTATGAATTTGAAAGAATTTTTCCATTATTGTTCACTAAATATAATATAAATAATAGTAGAATCTTTATTGCAGAGTCAAAAAAAAGGATTCTGTCCAATACCACTGATTAAAAACAATCAAAAATTTCAATTAATTCGAAGAATTTCTTCTAGAATTCTTCGTAGAATCGGGAAACATTAAGCACAAGCAAAAAAAATACGCAGCGACCCGTTTAATTAGAAGTATTAAGAGCCTTTCCCGTCGCATTTCTCCGTTGTGCACAAATTCAATAAGTTATATGGGCAAAGGGAATAAGGTATTTTGCGTCTTTTGTTGATCAGGCGACACCCGGATTTGAACCGGGGGAAAAAGGATTTGCAGTCCACCGCCTTACCGCTCGGCCATGTCGCCAAATTAATACAAAAGAAAGGAAAGTATACCATTTGGGGTGGTACTCAAATTTGCATCTTAACCCCCATTTTCATTTTCTTAACCTTAAGCCCCCTCCTAAAAAAAGGCTTTGAATCCATCTCTTCAATTACTTTTGTCTAGTATCTCAAAACATACATTAGCCAAATGTAAATTCTGTTCTCTTTTTATTGATTAGTGATATTGAAGAAAACCAAATGTGGATTTTCAGTTCCAAAAAATAAACAAATTCGAACCATTAACTAGTGGCCAAGAATTCACGAACAATTCTTGGATTTGAATCCAAATTTTGATTTTCTTATGATATATGATATAAGAAAATCAAAATTGATACATAACTAATCAGTATTGATTCGTTTCAATAAAAAAATCTTTCTCAATTTGAATTATAACAACAATTATGAGTATATGTAAACTAAACCCCAGAACAAAAAATTCTTACATAGATATCGAATCGGATATCTTAACTGAGTAATCACATGAATAACACAATAAGAATCAGCCACATTAGCACATCTTTCATTCTTTCTCTCTTTTGGAAAAATCGTTAATTTTCTTTCCCTTAATCTTTAACGGACGATTTCTCACTCGTTTTAACTCGGAATTTAATTTTTTTTTGCACAGTTAGATTAGATTAATTGTGCTCTTCCAAATGATATCCACTTTGATATTTTTTGGAACAAAAAAATTTGTCAGTTATTACCAGTCTATACCATATGATATTAAATAACAGCATACCATATGGTATGAAACATACCACCTCATACCAGGGTGGTATAGTATGGTATGGAGTTGGTAGAGCTGTCAAAATGTAACCCGACCCGAGTAACCCGCCTGATCAACCCGACCCGCAACCCGCCCGCAACCCGATTTGACTAAAAGTCAATGACCCGTAACCCGCCCGACCCGCAACCCGATCGACCCGCAACCCGACCAACCCACAACCCGACCAACCCGCAACCCGATCGACCCGTAACCCAATTAACCCGAAACCCGACCAACCCGCAACCCGACTAACCCGAACCCATAACCCGACCAACCCGCAGCCGACTATAATAGAAGGAATTCGATGAAGATAAACCAAAAGTTGACATTTGAAATTCTAGTTTACTAAAGTCTGATCATTACATCATCAATTATTGACTTAGTATAATAATATACATCATCAACCTATTAACACATATAATATCATCAAATATTTATTTAGATACATCATCAACCTAATAGTGCACATTAATTTTTTCATCTTTTCCACCAAGAACAAAGCTTTATTTTGTGTTCACAATTGCCATTAAATTGATTCACATAAAGTCTGAGTAGATAAGTAGAAATCCTTGGAGGGGTTATCAACATTTTAATTGATGTATATAAATAATATATATAGATAACACACATACATATGAAAAACATAATTGACTTAATTAAGCCAATCATACAAATACAGTAGTATTTTTTCAAATGTTAATAGTTTATGATCTCTGCCTCTTTCTGGTTCAGTAGGTCAACTCTTGTTTTTCACAATCTAAAACTTTTTCAAATGTTAATATACTCAACAAGTTAAAGATATAACAAATTGATTTGGTGGACTAGTTGGCTTTTGTGATAGTCTTTTATATATGTAAGGGTGATATAGATTTCTTTTTTGTGATTAAGGAACTATTTAGGGATCCGAACATGGAACCTCCAGGTTCTACCGTTCTAGGCTAGTGGTATTACCACTAGGCCAAACCCTTGTTCGTTTTGTGACAGTCTTTGCAATTCAAGGTTCTCGCCTAAACTTGACTTAATTAAACTTGGTTGCAACTTACAACATTTATTTATAAATAAGAAATCATTGAGACACTTGAATCAAAATCTAACTTACAATATGTATTTATAAATAATAAATCATTGAGACACTTGAATCAAAATCTAAAATGATTTCGGGTAAGGAATCTTAGGATGAGGACTTATGTTTTTCGCAATAATATAAATCTAAAATTGACATAACCTACGTTCTACCAACAATTTCATGACATGTAACAAGAGTTTAGGGTTTAAAGTTAATGCATAGGGTATACGGTCATGGTTTAGAGTTAGGAGGATTAGGGCGTATGTTCTTCACAATAATCAAATATAAAATTGAATTAACTTACATTTTTCACATAACGTACGTTCTACCAACAATTTCGTAACATATAACTATAGTTCATGGTTTAAGGTTGGTGTATAGGGTATATGGTCATGGTTTAGTGTCTTTTTAAGCTAAAAACATAAAGAAACCTAAAATAAAAGAACATAGGATGCTCATATGGATGGTTTGTTATGAACCTAAAATCATAGGCATACAATAAATATTTATTGTAATTTACATCAACCACCCAACAACACCCTCTCAACTTCCCCTCCACGTCAATGTACATATACATGTCTTTCCACCACAAAAACACAAGTCCTCCAAAAGCAACAACAATCATCCAAATTGATAGGAAC